AAGATCAGCTAGTCTTCAGTCTACAGCAGCAAGATGAACTCACCAGCGAGAGAGAAGGTAAGCAGCAAGAAGCCAGGCATTCTCCTCTGCCATGGCCTTTTATACAGGCTGCCATTAGAAGGTAACACCCACATTTAGGGTGTGTCTTTCGGCTTTAGATGATCCAATCAAGAAGATCTCTTTCATTTCAGTTAATCCCAGATCCAGTCAAGTTGACACCCAGGATTAGCCATCACAAGTCCACCCCTTGTCAACTTGACACCCAATAGCATCTCTCTATGTCATGCTTAATTTTCAAATGAAAACAATGTTGAGGTCATAAGTTCACCTAACATGATATGACTATCCCGTCATACAATGATCAATACATTGCGTTATATATACAATGCATTATATAAGAGTAGGTGATAAGGTCTTTGAGGAATGCTTAGTCCTTTAGTGTCTCATAACCCAATATAATCATAGAGGTTCACAACACTTAATCACTTACCACTTATCTCAATTACACATTCAAAAAAGAATAACTCAAGTATCTGCTTAACATATGTGTATACATGTACAAGCCTATTCTTAACCAAATAGGACAAAAATACTCATGCCAATTACAATCCATGTTTCTGGAACTGGTCACGTGCCCTAAGTTGGTATTTGTAACTACCTTCCTTTACGACCCATTCTGTATTTCCTCCACCATCAGTGAGCACCTCTGCAGGTCCTGGCTCTTTCCCTGGAGGAGTGACCCATACTTTCATCCCTGAAGGGTCTGGGCCATTTGTTGTCTTGTCTGGATTGGGTTGTTGCAGTTTCCCATTGACCTTAATCACAGGACATGGTAACATCAAAAGTCACCCTAAGGAATCTTCTGACTTCCAGATATAATCTTCATTACCTCCATTGTGGAGAACCAGTCCAATTTCCCCCTGGCAGTCGGGATCAATCACTCCTCCTAATACCGTTATTCCTTTCTTAGCCTGCTGACTTAAGGGCATCAGAAGCCCAAAGTGTCCAAGGGTCCAAGGGGAAGTCTTAGCTTCCAGTTCAACAGAATGTTTGTTGTCTCCCCTGGCAGAAGCACTCCCTCCTCTGGAACCAAAACATCTAAGCCAGTAGAGTGCAAAGTAGAGGGTACAAGAAGCAAAAATTTTCCTAGTGGGTCACCAGGGGTGATAGTGAGTGGAATCATTCCCACTTCCACCCCTTGATTCCTGGACCTGTGAATCCTGGCTATAGGAGAAACTGTACCATATATTGGATGCTGATTCAAAGCATATACTGCCTTCTGGAGGACCCTGCCCTAGCCCTCCAGGCTATTGCCACCTAATTGGCACTGTAACTGTCTTTAAGAGACCATTCCATCGTTCTATCAAGCCAGCTTCTTCAGGATGGTGGGGAACATGGTAAGACCGGTGGATTCCATGACCGTTGGCCACTGTTGCACTTCTTTGGCTGTGAAGTGAGTTCCCTGGTCAGAAGCAGTGCTGTACAAAATACCATGATGGTGGATAAGGCATTCTGTAAGTCCCTGGATGGTAGTTTTGGAAGAAGCGTTATGTGCAGGAAAGGCACATCCATAACCAGAATAAGTGTCTGTTCCTGTAACGACAATCCCCTACAAGATGGAAGTGGTCCAATGTAGTCAACCTGCCACCAGGTTGCAGGCTGGTCACCACGGGGAACAGTGCCATATCGGGGGCTCAGTGTTGGTCTCTGCTGTTGGCAGATCTGGCACTCAGCAGCAGCTGTAGCCAGGTCAGCTTTCATGAGTGGGAGTCCATGCTGTCGAGCCCATGCACAACCTCCATGTCTGCCATCATGGCCACTTTGTTCATGGGCCCATTGAGCAATGACAGGTATAGCTGAAGATGTTCCCATCCTTTGCGCATTTGGAGAGCTCTATCCACATACTTCTTCCCCAAATGTCTTTCTCACCAATTTTCCATTCATGCTCCTTCCAAGTCTCTGACTATCCAGCCAAACCACTGGCTACAGCCCATTAATCAGTATAAATTCACACTTCCGGACATTTCTCCTTGCAAACAAAATGCCCAACCACGTGCACTGCTCGAAGTTCTGCCCATTGTAAAGACTTGCCTTCCCCAGTGTCCTTCAGGGTTCTTCCAGGAATTGGCTGTAATGCCACAGCTTTCCACTTCTGAGTGATGCCTGCATAGCATCCAGAACCATCTGTAAACCAGGCTCTAGTCTTCTTTTCCTCAGTCAACCTATCAGAGGGCACACGCCATGACAACACAGGTACATGCTTGAGAACAGGAGGCATTGGAACAGGAGTACCTGCCATAGGTATTTAGGCAACTTCTTCAAGTAACTTGCTTGTGCCCTCTGGACCTGCTCAAGCACCATCAGGTATATGCAACTTCCGTTTGATAATGGATTGTTGCTGTTCATGGCCTACTTTATGGCTTCCGGGGTCAGATAACACCCAGCTCATGATCGGCAGCTCCGGTTGCATGGTGACTTGGGGGCCCGTTGTCAAGTGTTCAGTTTCCACTAAGGCCCAATAGCAGGCTAAGAGCTGTCTCTCAAAGGGAGAATAGTTGTCTGCAGATGAAGGCAAAGCCTTACTCCAAAATCCCGATGGCCTCCGCTGTGGTTCCCCTATGGGGGCCTGCCAGACTCCAAACAGCATCTTTTTCTGCAACTGATACCTCAAGCACCATCGGGTCTGCTGGATCATATGGCCCAAGGGGCAGAGCAGCTTGTATAGCAGCCTGGACCTGTTGAAGGGCTCTTTGCTGTTCCAGGCCCCACTCAAAGGTAGTTGCCTTCTGAGTCACTTGATGTATGATTTGTAGTAACACACCCAGATGAGGAATGTGCTGCCTCCAGAATCCAAACAGGCCCACCAAGTGCTGTGCTTCTTTCTTGGTGGAGGGAGGGGCCAAATGCAACAACTTATTCTTCACCTTAGAAGGAATGTCTCTGCAGGCTCCACACCACTGAACTCCTAGAAATTTCACTGAGGTAGAAGGCCCTTGAATTTTTGTTGAATTTATTTCCCATCCTCTCATGCGCATATGCTTAACCAACAAGTCCAGACTGTCTGCTACCTCCTGCTCACTGGATCCAATCAGCATAACATCATCAATATAGTGGACCAGTGTGATATTTTGTGGAAGAGTCAGGCAATCAAGATCCCTTCGAACCAAGTTATGACACAATGCTGGAGAGTTAATACACCCTTGAGGCAGGACAGTAAAGGTATACTGTTGGCCTTGCCAGCTGAAAGCAAATTGCTTCTGGTGGTCTTTATGAACTGGTATGGAGAAGAAAGCTTTTGCCAAATCAATAGCTGCATACTAGGTACCAGGAGACATATTAATCTGCTCGAATAAGGAAACCACATCTAGTACAGCAGCTGCAATTGGAGTCACTACTTAAGTTTTTGATAGTCAACTGTCATTCTCCATCACCCATCTGTCTTGACACCCAGGATTAGCCATCACACAGTAAAAGTAACTTCTTAGGAATTTGATACTTTGCAGGCCCTTTGGCAAGGTGTGCTACTGTCTTTTATCTAATCACTGATCACTACTAGGATCAATATTAGCAGCAGGGTAAGCCAGCTAGCCAGCCAGCATGCCTGCTCTACTTCCTTCCTTTTTTAGTGCTGAGAAACCGCTGAGTTATATCCTCAACCCAAGCTTATGTTTCTAGAGGGATAAGAGTCCATCATGGCAGAGAGGCATAGCACCAAGCGGCAGGCATGGCAGTAGAAGCCAAAGGCTGAAAGCTCACATCTCCAGTGGCAAAAAGGAAGCAGACTGTGAACTAGGAAGTACAGCAAGGCTATGGACTCTAAAACCTGCCCCCTAGGCCACACTTCCTAAAGATTCCATGACCTCTCCAAACAGGGCCGCCAGCTGGGGACCATATACCAAGTGTTCAAATTATTTGAGCCTTTCTCATTCAAACCACTACAACTGCTCTGTTTTGTCTCAGTATCCATATGAATGTCTTTAAAATTTGTTTTTATAGAAGGAAGGGTCAGTGGACTTTCAAAGGAACACTGTCAACAGTACATGGTACCACAATCTACCTAGTCTTTAAGTTTTCTATATTTTAGTAAGAAAAGTAGATCTGCTCTACTTTTTGCTATCCTGACAATATCTTTTCTATATGGTGTGGGACCCATGAAATGGAGGTCTCATTATTATTAATTTGATTGGAAAAAATTTAACTTAATGTTTAAAATGCAACTACTTTCTGGGATCCCCTCTTTGATTTTTTTGTTTGTTTTGTTTTGTTTTACTTCCTCATGCCTGTGGTGCTCATTCCTGACAAAAAGTGCCAGCTATTCTCCAAGAAGCAATTCCAGGAACCACACAGCATATTGAGTCCCAGCTTCAGATTGCCCAGGAACAGGCATTTCGCTACACAGCCATCCTTGAAAAAGTAACAAAGAATACACCCATGAGCAAAGAACTTGAGCCGCACATGTTAAAGGAAGCTCTCTATAATATTCGACAGTATGAGATCTTCCTTCAGATTGTTTTGGTGAGCTAATGCTACAAATTCTGGCATTTTCTATGTAAAGCAGTCTCTTAAGAACCCAGTCATTAATGAATGAGGCAAACTCAGGAACTGTCAGTTTACATTGCTTTGATAGGGCCAAGAATTAAAACAGAAACAAGAAAGTTAGATGTGATCTTAGTGGAAATGTATTGGTAGAAGTTAAGTTTATAGTTACTGATTCTCTTTGGTACTTAGTATGGTTGTTAACATGCTATAATTAAGCAGCATGTGTATTTGTAACATTTTTAATTCAGACCATGTGTTTTACAGATTATTTGGCGGGGAGTTGACATTCATGACATCTCTGTCACTTAAAAATTGGGAGCAGGTAGGGCTTAACACATGATATTTGTAGCAAAACTATGTTGTCTTTACAGTCAGATATAATTACTTGTGCTCAAGAAGTGGAAATGATGATAAAGCAGTTAGCAGCTCAACTGGAACAATTAAAAATGACAGTAAAATCAAAGACAGCTGTCCCAACATCACAAGTCTTTGTAAGTATTTGTCAACCACTTTGACCTTTTTTAAATAGAATTTTTGTGAATTTTATCAAGTCATCTTTATACCCCCTTCCCCTTTCCCCTTTGGTACTCTTCCAGAGCCCCCCTCCCAGAGTTTATACATTCTGTCATTTGTATTAAGGCCTATTATGTAAAGTTAATGTGCTAAGATGTCCCTCAGAGCAACTTCAATCACCATGGTTTAGTCAGCCTATCTAGGGTCTCTCCTTTCAAGAAGATCAGCTTTTCCTCACCCAGCAGTAATCAGCTGCATAGAGTCTCACTACATAGCCCTGACTGGGCAGGAGTTTGTTATGTGGACCAGGTTGGCCTGGAACTTAGGTCCATGTGCTTTCTAACTGCTGGAGTACAGTTCTTTACCTTGCTTGGCTTTCTGATTAACAGCACTGTTTTATAGAAAAATTTGACATCCCTGATCTGGGAGACCCTGATAAATTTCTTCAGTTATTCTCAATATTGGTTTTAAAAACCAAGAAGAATTAGCTGGAAAGATGGCTCAGCAGTTAAGAGCACTGGCTCCTCTTGAAGAGAGTTCTTGGGTTCAGTTCCCAGCCCTACATGGCAGCTAACATCCTCTCTAACTCCAGTTCCAGTGGATCCAATGCCTTCTTTCAGCCTCCTTGGGCATTTCATGCACAGGTACACTCATATACATGCCAGTGAAACACTCATTCATACAAAATAAAAATAAATAAATAAAATGTTAAAGCCAAGAAACAAAAAGCTAAGTTATTTAACTTATATGTGAGGCCTAATTGATTTTTCATTTATTCTGTAAGTCGTTGATCTTCATTGTGAATAAAAATATTTTATTTCACTCACTGAAAATGTTTTGCTTATAGCTCATATGACATACGGTAAGATATATTTGTATACTTTCCATATTTTTTTTTTGAGACAGGGTCTCCCAGTAGCCCCAGCTGGCGTAGAACTCACTGTGTAGACCAGGGTGGCCTTGAACTCACAGAGATCCGCCTGCCTCTGCCTCCCAAGTGCTGGGATTAAAGGTGTGCACCACCATGCCTGGCTGATTTTTTCCTCTTTTAAAAATATTTTATTTATTACTTTTATATTGTTTGTATGAGTATATTGCCTGCATGTATTAAAGTGCACCTGCATCATGCAATGAATGCCCACAGAGGTAAGAAGAGGGCATTGGATCCCCTGGAACTGGAGTTATAGATAGTTGGCCACCATGTGGATACTGGGAACTAAACCCAGGTCCTCTACGAGAACAACCAGTGCTCTTAACCACTGAGCCATCTCTTCAGCCCCTCCAGATTCTTTTGATACATGACTGGGCCAAGTAACTCTATAATGAGTCATACCTAGTTTTAAAACATTAAATTTGAAGGATATTTCCTTTTGATTTCTTGAAGTTAAGTATCCATAAAATTTCTTAGGAGATCAAATGAGTTTGGCTAATTTTTGAGTAAATTAACTTTGTAACAGTCACACCAAATAAAATGCCTTGAAAGAAAATACAAGTTTATTTTCTACTGACTTTCTATCTAGAATCTGTTAACTGTCTTGACAAGACTGATTTATGGAGGAATGAGTTTCTTTATAAATAACAATCATATTTAATTTTAAGAATGTAATGATTAATAATTCTATAACAGTTACATTTTTCAATGTTTTTCTCTCCATCAGCCCATCTTCATTGCACTAGCCAGTCTGTGGGTTAGTTTTCAGGATGAAACTGTTTTGATTAGTGTCCTCAGTAATTTGACCACTAACCTTGAGCTATTCCTGGGCACTCACGAACTTCTCTTTCCTGAGAAAGTGATAAAAGATCTTCTTGATGGAGCGACTGTGAAAACTGATCTGTGTAGAATTAAAGAACACATGGGTAATGGAAATCAAACATTATCTCCTCCTTTAAAAGTTATCTATTGTTTAAATCTCGCGTTGCTTTAAAATTTTCAAATTAGAGCTACCTTTATAATTAGAAAAGACAGACATTCATTACAGAATATACAGAGAAAACCAGACATGGTGGGACACACCTGTAAGTCTCAGCTTATGGGAGGTAGAGGCAGGAAGATCAGGAGTTTGAGACAAGCTTAGGCTACACAGTGGGCTTGAGTCCAATCTGGGCTACATGGGACCCTGTCTCAAAAAGAAAGTGGAAAACACAAGTATGGAAAATGGTTCCACAGTAATCATTCTTAATGTTCTTCATGTCTTGGTGAACAATGGTTTTGAGTGTATATGCATATCTGTTGTAAGATCAGTGGTTTTGTGGTTAATACATTGAGAAAATTCTTGCAAATTGTATTTGTTGCAAATAAAGCTCTTCTTTTAAAAAAAATTAATGTATTTATCCTGCATGTATGCAAGTGCATCACATGTGTGAAGTGCCCACAGAAGCTAAAACAGGTTATTGGGTCCCCTGGAATTCAAGTTATGGATGGCTGTGAACTGTCATGTGGGTGCTGGGTACCAAATTGGGGTCTTCTGCAAAAGCAAGTAGTGCTTCTAACTGATGAGCCATCACTCCAGCCCCAATCTCTTTTCTTTTCACAGAATGTTATTTGCTCAATGTCTACTTAGAGTCAAATTGAGATTTATAAACCAATTCATTTTGGCCTTATAAAATTAATTTAGCTAATTTAGGCCCTCTGAGAAATGCATTGATTCTTATGGAGGGGCTATCTGTATCACCTTTTTACTATTTTGGTCTTTTCTTTCTTAGTTAAAAGAGAATTTAAAATTTATGAGAAATGTCAAAGTATAGTCTGGAACTTATTAGTAAAATGAATGTTTTTCCTAGAAAAATTAAATTGGATAAATTACTGCTTGCTTTTTTAAATTCTATTTTGGTAAAACTTGAAAATAACAATGTAGCAATGATCCCTTTCTTAAATTATTAGGAGCTATAAAAACTGAAAACTAAGTCAGATACTAAAAACTGTCCTCTTAGTCTAAGTTTTTACTACTTCTAGTGAAGTTTGTTCACTTCATTAAAACAGCATGTCTAAGCACATATTAAATGAAATTGGAAAGTTAAAGTAACTTCAACAATGAGTATTCAGTTCCGCTACATTGTCAAGACAGTTTCTTTACCATCATCTGGTTTAGTCATCCAACAAGAAGAAATGAATATGAAATTCCAGCAATGAGAAATGAACAAAAGATTGGAGTTGAAGACCTTAAGTGCTTGCTTTTTTGCCTGTTGACCATATATACTAGAACTATCTGCATTGTCTATGCAGCATGGAGATTTTATTATTTTTACCTAAAGATGTCTCTTTTTGGTAATGACAAACACTTTTTTTTTTAAAGCCTGGTTTTTCTCAATACACTTTTAAAGATTTTTAAGTTGTTTTATATCTGGTCAAGTCGAGATTTTTAAGAACTTCATTTTTAATTTGTAATAAAAGTTTACGGGGCTGGAGAGATGGCTCAGTGGTTAAGAACACTGACTGTTCTTGCCGAAGACCCAGGCTCGAATCTCAGCACCCACATGGCAGCTAACAATTGTCCATAACTCCAGTCCCAGGGGATCCGACAGCCTCTTCTGACCTCCGTGGGCATTGCACAACATGGATACACTTACCTACATGAAGACAATACACACATACACATAAAATAAAAAAATTAAAAAGTTTACAACTTGCTTTTTTTCAAAAAAGTCAACAAACTGCAAGCACCTGTTAATAAAGGTTTTAAATTTTTTAAAAATCTTAGATTGATTTCCCACCAGAGTTAGAATTTTTTTCCTCACTGGAACATTTTATTGTCATTCTTCAGTGAATTGGGAGAGTCAATATTCTCTGAAAGACTTTAACTTACACTAGCCACAGTTTATCATTGTTGGAGACCTTGAATATATCAGGGTAAGACAGATTTGTTTTCTCCAAGTTACACATTTACTTTTAGTTGTAGACACAAGGTCATTTGGTTGTCTCTGGGTGTAGAATCAGGCATAAAAATAATACAAGTGATTTTAAAAGCTAGGAATCTTGGAGAACAATTTTTCATGAACATATATTTTTAATTTTATTTATTATTTATGTGTATGTGTGTATTTCCTGCATGTAGGTAAGTGTACCACCCATGTCATGCAGTGCCCATGGAAGTCAGAAGAGGTTGTCGGATCCCCTGGGACTGGAGTTATGGACAGTTGTTAGCTGCCATGTGGGTGCTGGGATTTGAACCCGGGTCTTCTGCAAGAACAAATGCTGTTCTTAACCACTGAGCCATCTCTCCAGCCCGTGAACATATATTTTTAAAATTTTTATGTGTATTGAGTATTTAACCTGCATGTATGTAAGTGCACCCAGGTTGTACAATGCCCACAGAGGCCTGAAGAGGGCATTGGATCTCCTGGAACTGGAGTTGTGGACAGTTGTTAGTTGCCATGTGGGTGCTGGGAACTGAGGCTTTATACTCAGCACTTGGGAGGCAAAGGCAGGTGGGTCTCTGAGTCTGAGGCCATCCAGGGCTACATACTGAGACCCTGTTTCAAAAACCGAAAAATAAAACGAGACAAAAAGTCTAAAGAACAGGGGCTGGAAAGGTGACTCAGTATGCTCAGAGAGTGTGTTTTTGGTACAGAGGACCCAAGTTCAGTTCCTAGCACCCACATGGCTCTTCACAGCTGCCTGTAAGTCCAGTTCCAGGGACTCTGACAACTTATAACCTCCACAAGCACCAGGCATAACACATAAAATAAAAATGAAGAAAATTTTTAAAAACTGTATATCTTGTAGTCAAAACCATGTTAGTAAAAGACATTTCCTTGATTTTTTTTTTTTTTTCCTGTTTGGAACGTTCTCTAGTGTAAGTCTGATTTTGTATGTAATCAAGGGAAATTTTGCAGTCAGAAAAATTATAGACAATAAAAAGTTGATGTTTAGAATTATCTTCTGACTTATATAGGAAATTTTATTTTCTCAAGGAATTAAAAACTTTTCCTGTCCTCTTTCATTTTAGAAGAAAGAGTACAGTTGGCAGATTTCAGAAAATTGGAATGGCTTTTTCCAGAAACAACAGCAAATTTTGATAAACTGCTAATTCAGTATCGGGGATTTTGTGGCTACACATTTGCTGCAACAGATGGTCTTCTCCTTCCAGGTATATTGTGTTGTTGGGAATAACATTGTCCTTTGTCCTGGTGTTTATTTCATACTGGGTGTTCATTGCACCCATTAGTCATGTTTTCAAACTATGGATTCACATGGTGAACTAGGAAAGGAGATATGGAGATGATCCAGATAATGTCTTCATCTTAAAGGTGTTTACAGTATAATCTGGTAGATTCACAGAAGACTATTAAGAAGTAAGTGGTGGGAGGTGTAACAGGCTGATTGTCCCTTATCCAAATGCTTTGAAGCAGAGGTGTTTTCCAATGTGGGTCTTTTAGGAATGAGATATATTAAGGATGGGAACTCCAAGTCTAAACACAAAATCCATTTGTATTTCTTAGATATCTTATGCATAAAGCCTAAGGTAATTTTATACACTATTTTTTAGTATACTCACATGTTTTTTGTTTTTGTTTTTGTGTGTGTGGTCCTTTTGAGACAGGGTTTCCCTATTGCCCCAGCTGGCTTGGAACTCCCTGCATTAGATCAGGCTGGCCTTGATCTCACAGGGATTCCCCCTGCCTCTGCCTGTAAGGTGTATGCCACCACACCCAGCTAGTATACTCACTCTTGACCTAGCATGTGAATTTTCTGCTTGTGGCATCCTGAAGGTACTCTAAATGTTTCAGATTTTGGAGCATTTCACATTTCAGCTTAAGGACACTCAGCCAATATTGTATAATAGGGGCTCTGTAGTGTCATGGAAAGGTGCTGCTTCATATGCATTGAAAAGAGTCCAGACAGTACTAAAAATACTGCCTTTTAAAATAATTACTGAAAAAAAACACAACTGATATGGTCACTTAAAATATTCCCTTTAACTTTGTAGTTATACTCCATTAACATAAGTTAGGATTCCTTTATAAGTTAGATTCTTCTAAGGAAATACTTTATCAAGTAACATTTCTCTACTATATATATAAATCAGGCATTGAGAGGCAGTAAATTTTATCCCAAAAGTGCTATGTGAAGGGGGTAATGAGAAGAAGCCTGCTAGGGCTGCAATGAAAACAGCTTGACAGACCTGCTTACTATTGCTTTTATGTCATTAGCCTCATCCTTTGCCTTTTTTCTTGATTTCTTTTCCTTGATATTTTTGCCATGTTTTACAATTGGGTCTTGCTGTTTGTCACAGAATTGCTGGAATTCCTCATGCTAAAGAGAAGAGACAAATTGGCTTACTCTTTGTGTTTTCCTGAGGAACAAACACACCAGAAATGTGGATGTGAGGTGGCGAAAGACATAGTCCAGCTTCTACCTACCGTGTTAATACAAGAGAGGGATAAGTAGGAAAGAAGGCTTGCCAGGCTATGAGTTTCAGAATCCTCACTGAATTAACTAGTGCTGACCCTTCTTTTCTGTTTACTGTATTATTTCTATCTACTATGCTATGGTCTAGACACCAGAAGCTCACATTACCTCAAAAGGCTTTGTGGAGCATTTCTTTCATTTGGAAGTGCAGACTACATGGCTTAAACCCCAAGGTGAAGCGTACTGTGGCATACTGCACCATCACAGTCCTTTTCAGATGACCTCATGTCTACCAAGCCATCTCCCTGACTCACTCTACTCTAGTCAGGTCCACTTCTTGCTGCTCTTGCACATTCTAAGCCACTATCAACTCAGAGACCTCACTTGTGACTCCTCCTGCGTGGAAAGCTCCCTTACCACCTCAGTTCATGCCTTGCTCCTTTATGTTATTAAATCTTTCCTAGTCAATTTAGAGCACCAACCTCTCCCTACTATATATTTAACTTGCTTGCTTGCTTTATTTATTGCCATAACTCTGGTCATTCTTTGGCTTTTGATATATTTGTGACTTGTTGGAAGTAGAGACTTTATTTACTCTTTGTCCTTCTGTATGCCAAGAATAGGGTCAATAACTGTTGAATAAATGAAAGAATGAATATGACAGTATTATAATTTTTAAATAATTTCCACAATATGCATGGATATTTAATAATCTACAGTCTATATAGAATCTTTTTTTTGTCTTTTTGAGACAAAATCTTTTTACAGTTTAAAATATATAAATTTGCATTGTAGAAAAGATGGCTCATTTTTATAGTTCTTACAGTTATTTTTATATGCCCTTGCAGAGGACCTAGGTTGAGTCCCAGAGCCCGACCCACTGAGAGACCTGAGTGACTCCACCTTGGATAAAACCTCCATGGGACTGACCCAGCCCTGGGCCCTGTTCCAGGAAAAACCACACACACAAAAAAGTATACATGGAACAGTTAGAGAACAACTCCCCCACCAATGGTCAATTAACCAGGGACAGGAAAATATTAAAAGTTCAGATATCTTTTCAGGTTTCTTGAAGCCAGCAGTTTATGGTTTGGCGGTGGGCTGCAACCAATCAGATGCTTACCAGGCTGGAGACCCCCTACTCCCCTACTTGCTGAACTTGCTGAAATAAACCTATAAAAACCTCTGTCTCCCAAAGCAAGGGGTCTCACATCTGAGATCCGCTGAGTCGGTGACAGAGTGGACCCAAGATTAAGCTTGTAACAATAAAAAATCCTTGTGTGTTTGCATTGGTCAGCTCCTTGGTGGTCTTTGGGATCTCGTGAACTGGGCAGAACATCTTGGGGGCTCATCCGCGATCCCCAAGACCCCCAGGACCCCCGAACAGAAGGGTTCCTGGCAGGCCAGTAAGTGTTCTGTTTCTAGTTGTGCCTTTCTGTGTCCTAGCTTCTGTTCTGAGCCTTGAGGCAAACTTGTGAACAGTGTGGTGAGGAGTGGTTGGAGTGGACGCGCTGGATGACTGTGACCACAGAGGTCTGGAAGACGTTCCAGACCCCGGCAGAGGGGATGGAGGGCCCCGGACTCTGTTGATTTCTGTGAAATGACAAGGCGGGTCGCTCCCACGGTGGGTGTGGCAGTTCACCGCTGTCCTACTTTCAGTTTTTCTTTCGCACAAGCGGGGGAATTTGCTACTTGGCCTTCTGTGTGTCTTTCTGGCTCTCTGTTTTGTCTTTGTCTATTTCTCTGTGACTGAGACGGACGCCATGGGACAGACTCCCTCTGGACCTGGTTCTTGCACATTTTGGAGAGGTTAAGACTCAAGCCCATAACCTCTCTGTTGTCAGGAAGAATAAACTAACTACTTTTTGCAGGTCTGAATGGCTCACTTTCAAAGTGGGATGGCCCTCGGAGGGGACCTTTAATCTCACTGTCATTAACGCAGTTGAGAAAATTATTCTTCAACCACATGTGGGACACTTGGATCAAATATCATACATAGTGTCTGGGGAGATTTAGTTAATAATCCCCCCTCCTTGGGCCAAGTCTTTTCTTCCTTTATAGAAAACTGAGGTGCTGACAGCTGCAGAACGGAAAACGACAACCCAGAAAGCACCTAAGCCTGAAACCAAACCATCAGTACCATCACTGTACCCTGTCTTACAGGGAAGCACAGAAGAAGGTCTAATTTTTCCTCCCCCTCCTTATCCACCTCCTCCACAGGAGGTACCCCCTCCAGAACCGACACCCCTGGTACCAGATTTTTCACAGGCACGGGGGGACTGGCTCAGGGGACTAGAAGTAGAAGGGCAGCAACACTGAAGGGTCCAGACTTTACTGTTCTACCCCTCAGAGTCACCGGCCTCATGGATGAGGCCGGCAACCAGCCCCATCACTATTAGCCATTCGCCACTTAGTGACCTTTATAACTGGAGAACCCAGAATGCTCCCTTTTCTGAAAATCCTAAGGAGTTTATTAATTTATTAGAAACTGTCTTATTCACACACCAACCCACTTGGGATGATTGTCATCAATTATTACAGGTCCTGTTTACCACAGAGGAAAGGGAATGTATCCAAACAGAAGCCAGAAAATTAATTTCTGGCAATACTGGTGACCCTACTACTGACCCAATACTGATTGATGCTGCCTATCCACTGACCTGGCCTGATTGAGATTATAATACTGCAGAAGGTAAGGGGAGGCTTCTGGTTTACCGCCAGGCTCTGTTGGCAGGTCTCAAAGCGGCTGCTCATAGGCCAGCTAATTTGGAAAAGGTATACAATATTAGTGAGGAACTAAATGAAAGCCCAGCTGTGTTCTTGGAGTGAATAATGCAGGTACACTCCATTAGACCCGGTGGCCAAAGATAATTTAGCGGCAGTGGCCATGGCTTTTGTTAACCAGTCGGCTCCAGATATAAAGAAAAAGCTCCAAAAAGTGAAGAGACTGGGTGAAAAGAGCTTAAGGGATTTAATGACTGTGGCCGAGAAAGTGTACAATAATAGGGATAGTGCAGAGGAAAAACAGATAAAGGCAGAAAGGAGGCAGAATAAGGACCTGGAAAGGATCCTGCTGGCTGCCACTGTGGATCCAGAGGACCGGCAGAGGTCTCTGAGACAGATAGCGTCGGGGAAAGGAATCTCTTGCAGTATGTGGATGACCTACTTGTAGCGGCAGACAGCCAAGAGGCTCACATGGACAGCACAGAACGTTTGTTGCAGACGTTGGGAAGCCTGGGCTATCGGGCCTCTGCTAAAATGGCCCAACTATGTAAACAATAGGTCCAATACTTGGGCTATATACTCAAAGAAGCACTACTGGTAAAAGATGCTGACAAACTGACTTTGGGCCAGAACTTGACCATCACCACACCACATGCAATTGAAGGAGTTTTAAAGCAGCTCCTGGACAGATGGCTAAGTAATGCCCGTATAACTCATTATCAGGCATTCTTAATCCTGGTAGAATCACCTTCGAGGTACCAGTTGCCCTGAATCCAGCCACACTCTTGCCGGACCCTGCCTTGGATGCCCCCCTGCATGATTGTGCCAGAATCCTGGCCCATGTCCACGGTACCCGATCAGATTTGAGAGATACCCGTTATCTGATGCTGAAGTAACCTGATTCACTGATGGGAGCAGCTTTGTCCAGGATGGCAAGAGGTATGCAGGGACGGCTGTAGTATCATTAACCTGCATCATTTGGGCAGAGCCTCTGCCCACTGGCACTTCAGCCCA